TTCCTTCCCCCATTTGATCCACTTTGCCTTAGCTCGTCCTGTCTTTGGAGCCCTCTGGACTTCCTCTTTCCAGGGCTGGAAATTGTAATCCAAGCTTCACTAGCAATGAAGACACCACCCCCTCGTTCTCCCATCCACCTCTGCTCTTCGCTGTCCCCACTTCCTTCCTCCCTGGGTCCTTCCCCTGCCCTGGATTCCCCCGACAGGGTGCCGATACGTTCCTCAGAGCAGCTTGCTCTTTTCCCAGCTGTGCTCCCTCCCCGAGTAACTGCAGCACCGATGCTATTTCATCTCTCTAGACCATGCTCGTTAGCATAACGTCTGAGCCCTGCCAGGGCAGCGCTCTGTTTCCCACTGCACGGTGTAACGGGGGCCCCAGGGTGAGGCTGGCGCGCTGCACCAAGAGCAGCATCCTTGCCCAGTCCCGGCTGCAGATGTTCTGCAGTCTTGCAGGACCGTGGAGCTGCTGCCTCTGCCAGCTTCGCTCCTGGCTCCGGATGCCTGGATGACACTGGCAGCTGGGTTCTCCGGGTACCTTTTGTTGCTGGCACAGCCTGTCTCTGCCGGCCTCTCTATGCTCGACGACACACCCTGGGGCTTTGTGCGTGTTGAGCGGTTGCAGGGACCAGACTGCTCACAAAGGCTGTAGGGACGGCGGCTTCGTCTCACCTGCAGGAGCAAGAGAAGAAAGGCAGAACAGGGAGCTCGTTAGGTCATCTTAGGTAGGAGTCAGAAATCAAAGGGGTTTGGGAGCATTGGTCCTGCGCTCGCACACGTTTGAATCTGTTTTCAGGGGCAGGCTGAGAAGTGCATCGCTGCTCCCACGCGGAGCAGAGCACGTTGCTAGGACACAGCATGGTGCTTCTGGGAAGAGTGCAGGAGCTGGGAACGGCAGCGTTGAATACGGAGGAGCAGCTGCCAGGCGGAGTGGTAGGGTACCCGGCGAAGGCACCACCGTTCACCCTGGCTGCTCCCTCGCAAACGAGGTTGAAACCCGGCGGTGTTGATTGCACTAGAAAATACAGCTGGGGTGTTGTCAGTGCTGGGATCGAGCTGCTTGCGGAGCGGGTGCCTCGAAGAGGGAAGGACGCAGTCGGTTGTCCTCATATTGGGTGTTCTGTCTTGTGGTTTTGTGACAACGCTGGCCGGCCGTGTCTACATGAGGCGCTTTACTGCACACTAGACTAATCTGGTGTCTTGACCCCCGTTGTCTTTCTTGCCTAGTGCAGGGGGGGCTGGACCCGATGATCTTGCAAGGTCCCTTCCAGCCCCTTACAATCTGTGAATCTACTGCGGAGTAAAGCGTCACCGTCTACACGTGCAAGCGCTTCCTGCGCAGTATATTAGTCTGCTGTGCAGTCTGTGCACATGCAGGTAGTAAATTTACTGTGCAGTAACGCCAAATAGCATTAGTTGCAGCTGAAGATGTGCCCACTATCTTTTAGTAACAGGTTAGACAAGGATGGTCTGGATGGGGGTTGGACTCCGTGACCCGTAAGAGGTCCCTTCAAGCCCCGTGTTTCTATGATTCTGTGACCTTCATTTTATTGCTCCTGCTCATGGGAGTTTAAAGAAAAGGCTGCATTTGGGTCACCCAGAGGATAGGGTTTGCTTGACGGGGGTGGATATTAGGCGCAGAACGCTGGGAGCTCCAGTTTGTTTTCTTCAGCGTAATAACTAGGGCATGAATCATTTTTTGCTGACCCACCACAAGTTCCCAGCGCCGACCTTAGAGGCTAGCATAGCGTAGTGGAGACGGGGAGTGTGTTCTCTCTGCTTGTTTAATCCCAGCCCTCTCCACCTGGGAAGGAGTTTCCAGACTCGTGGCCGCTAGGGACTGAGATGAAACTCAGGGTAATTGGGCAAAGGAGAGCACGTCGCCAAGCAGCCCTTTCTGGTTAATTGTAGGATGCTGGGAGCGAGGACAGTGGTCTCTGCCTGGCGGGCAGGATGCAGCTTTTAATTCATCTTGCAGTTGTCAGTGCTTAGCCTGCAGCTCCTTCAGTGCCGTGCCCGCAGCAGGGTGGCTAAGGGGCATAGAGGTTTCTCCACTGGGCTTTGCAACGCGGGGTCTGCTCAGGCCAGGCCAAGTCTCATGGAGGGATGTGCTGCGCGCTCGATCTAACAAAGCGTTCACATGGCAAATGACTTCAGCACTGAACATGTTTTCTCCTTCGCGTGACCTTAACATGGGCGGTTGTGTTGACATTCAACTAACAGCTCTGAAACGGCTAGGCTTGGAGGCACGTAGCTAGAGCGTATGGGGGATTCGGTTGCATATCTGGGAGCATTCATCCTGCAAGCTTGGGGCTCAGTGCTTGGAGGGAATCCGGACACCTCTCCTTCTCGTAGGGGGCTGTTGCTGGTGGAAGCAGGCTCCAGGCTCTTCCCCTTCGGCTGTGCATTAGTTGAGAAGTGGGTAGTGAGCTCCTACCAGTTTCTCAGCCCTCGGTGTCCTGCAGTGCCGAGGTTTTACTAGCTTCTCATCCCAGGGGGGAAAACAGGCCTCTGTCTAGGTGGTGAGGGGCTTCAACCAGGGTGTCTCTTATTGCTTCTTGGCTATAAGGAGCATTTTCCTCTGAGGCTAGCCAGGAAGAGGAGCATGGTAAGGGAGCGTGGGTCTGATGTGAGCGCTGCACGTGCTATTCTGCAGAGGCGAAGGGGGAAACATTCATAGCCTCTTCAGAAGACTCGGGGATGAATCAGCCTCTGGAGAAGCTGCTTCAGGTTGAGTTCAGCCCTAAGAGCTTGTATAAAAGTATGCAAGCTGCATGCACGTGCGCCTCTGCAGAGCGCCGTTCTGGGAACAGGTCCTTATCCCTCCGCACCGGCAAACACGTCCGCGGCTGAAAACATTGCCAAGTACCACTGCAGTCTGAATCGTAGCGTGTTTTAAGTGGATCCAGCCTCATTATAAACGCTGTTAGAAACCGCGAGAGAGAACTTTTTGGAGGGGGTAATGGCATGGTCCAGAGGGCTGGCGCACGCTCTGGGTGCAAGGGAAAGCCATGCTTGGCCCCAGCTTTCAACATGCTTGTGGCTAGTGCGGCTTTGCTGCGTGGAGCAAACTGAACGTGCGCTCCAGGAACTGCTGCGCGTCACTCTCCACCTCCTCCTGGGCATGTGGACACGGGCACTGTTGCAGTGCCCGGCCACGGGTGCCAGGCACCTGGTAGAGGGAGTGCTAGCATCTTCCCGAACATGGGGGCAGGGGAGCTCAGCCCCTGTTGAGGCAGGTCAGTGTGACTGGGAAAGGCCTTTCCAAGCCTGGCACCGGGTGCAAAGTGTGCCCAGTGCGTGTTGTGCTCGTCGATGCCGTTACGCTGTCTGCAAAGCGGCTTCGTTCTTTTATGTTTTACTCCATCTCTGTGCGCTTCAGAGGCTGACATGTAACCCCAGCGGTGCAATGCGTCACCCTTTGTCGTCTGCGGTGGGCCGAGGGCTTAAGCCCCACAGTCTCTTTTCCACGGGCCATGGGGGCTGTGACCGCACTTGGGTTGTGGGGGGTCCTGGGCACTCACAGTAGCTGCGGGGACAGGCTTTGAAGGGTCTCGCTCAGCCATCAGCTGAGATGGAGGAAAGGTCCCTGTGACACAGCCACAGGGGAAAGGCACAACAGCGCCGAAGAGATGAGCATCCGAGAAGCGTGAAGCTAACCAGGGTGACGCTTTCAGACTTAGAATTTCAATGCTTGACCTTCCAGGGGTGAAATCCTGGTTGCTTTTCATGAGGCTCAGGGTCCTGAGTTCCCAAGGCATGAAAGGCTCGGACTTCAGCTCCACACCGCCGATATGCTCTTGAAGGTTTTATCTGACCACCGGAGCTGCAGCAGGCTGGCAAACACTTGCCGCCCTGCTCTCCACCTGCACTTTGGTGGTGGGTTTTAGATTAGGGGGTGCTTTCTGCCAGAACGCTCTTGCGGTGACCTTGGACCAGCTGCCCAGTGTCTGCTGCTTGGTTCCCCATCCGTAATCCTTCCATGCTCCCGCCCATTGTGCCCGCTCCATTCAGACGGTTAGAGGTGGCCTCTGTCCTGAGCAGCTCTCGGAAACCATGGGGACCCCAATTAGATGGGGTCCCGAGGCCCTGCCATAATCCCAGTCGCTCAACTCCCATCATCAAGGAATCTGCCTTTGATTGTGCAGGAGCCGTGGTTCCATCGCGGGGTTTTCGGAAGGAAATCTCTCGGCCGCTTGGCCATTTTAGGCATGCTTTGCTTTCCCAGGGCTTCATTTTGTTTTCATTCCATCCCTGCGGACTTTTTCCTCGGTGTTGCAACGTGAAATGCTTTCAACCCAGTTTGCAGACCAAAGGGCTTTGGGGATTTCCATCACCTGGAAGTGCAGAGCTTTGCATAAGAGTTGGGAATGTGGGTCAGTTTTTTCAACAGTCAAGTGAAACTACGTTCTTCGTGCAGCCAGAGCGGAGGTCTCAGCAGTTCAACGCGGGCTCGTGCCCGGGTCCGTGGCCAAGCGGTGGTGCTGGGGAGGAGGGAGCAGGGGGCTGTCCGTTCGACGGTACAGCCCAGGCCAAGAGGTTGCCGACTCCTCCCTGCCGGAAGGCTGCATCGCTGTGCCTCGGTGTACGCATGGCACATGCTTTCGCAGGTCCTGAAGAGCTAGAGATTATTTCTCCCTTGCTCAAGCCTAAATTTCGGAAGTGTCAAATGATGCAGACTCCCCCAGCATGGAGGACGGTGCAGACCGATGTGACCGATGGTCGTTGCAGATCTCTGCTCTGCTCTCCCTTCCCTCCTGGGTCACCTGTGCTCTGCCGTCACACCTCCGCTTTATGATGCCTGTAGGGGCCAAGTCATTGCAGAGAGCCCAAGCAATTTCAGGTGAACTTCTTTACTGCCCGTTACAGATCTTCGGAGTAGAGGGAAGGTTGCGTGCCCTGAAAAGAAACGTGGCTTGGTTTGCTATAAAAGGAAGGGCATGCCTTCTCATCACGGCTGGATCTCCGCGCTGCCCCAGGGTGGGAGGCGGACAGCGTTTTCATCAGTAGCTGTTGCAGCTAGTTACCCCTACGGTAAATCTTTACTAGCAGCCTTACTGCAGCAATTGCCATAGGCTTATGATCCAGTAAAAGGTTCCTCGTGGCTCAGAGCGTATGAAGTGCTACGAGTGCCTACGTGCTTGTCAGGCGGCAGCTTATTAATATCTGATACCTTTCTGGCTGCGGCTCCTTGCGACAGTGGGTGACTTCGGGCTCTTGCCTTTTGTTCTCTGCTACGATTGATATGCTGTGTTAATTTGTAACAGGGGAATTATTGACTGCCTTGGAGCACCAATTATGGATAGGGGCTGTCCCGATCCTTTTCCACAAGGAGAGTCATTTACAGATTAACTCGCCATGCCTTTCTTTGAAAACACAAGTGTGAAATTTGTTTTTCAGAGTCCCGATTTAAAATGGTTATTAGTTTCAACTAACACGAGGGCCACAAGCTTTCCCAGGATGATTCGAGCCCAGCAACACTGCCAGCCTGTGTTTGCAAATCCAGTTCCCGAGGAGGAAGAGTGCTCTCCAAGCAACACAAAGAGCATCTTGGGCCTTCTCAAGCTGAAATCTGGTCTGGGGTTGCAGACAAATAAGCAGTTGCACTTTTGTGTCGCACACAATCGAGTCCTTGTCGTGGACGTTGCATTCTGGAGCTCTTTGGCGTGGAGCTCGGGTGTCTTCTGCACAAGTGCTCAGTGTCTCAGAAACCCTGACACGTTGTGCCGGGGCTGTAACCGGGTCCTGGCCGGTAACTCAGAAAGAAATGCATCCTTTACAGTCCTTTTGCAAAGCTGAATCTGCACTTCCGTGCCCACGGGCAGAGAGCTGGGAGCATGAAAGCTGCAGTGGCCAAGGCTCGAACAGTAAAGATGTCATTTCAGACATGTCAGCTCTGACGGGTGTTTCTTGAACGCTCTTGCAGACGCAGCCCTCTTGCTGTGCCACGATGCCGGCTGTCTGGAGGCCCTGCATACAGGAGATTTCAGCTACAAGAAAAGATGGCATTTAGTTCGTTGGCTTGTGACATGGAGTAATAATACGCAGGCCGGTGCCTTCAGGAGCGAGCTGCCGGTGGAGAGAAGCGTGCCCGGCGGCTTCCCCGGTCCCGTTGTTCCCCGGGGAGGAGTGAGGGTGTTTCAGTTCAGAGCGGCTGTGATGGAGCAGGAGGAGAATTGCTCCTACGTTGAGTCTGCAGGTGAACGTCCGCCGGTGATCCCGCTGAGATGGCCTCCGCATAGAGAAGGCGCTGCGTTAGCCTGCGGTATCGCTGCTTTGCTAGTATTCGAGGTGCCGCATTAACGGTGCCGTCTCTGGAGGGGGAAAAGCAAACCACCCTGCTCGAGTGGCTCTCTGCAAGTTCTGATTGTCAGCTCTAATTGACTCAGGAATAATCTCGTCTCTCCGGCTGCGTGCCGGTGCTCCCCACTCACCCCTGGCTGCGGGGTAATAGTATTCCTCTGTCTCTCCGGCTCGCAGATGTAAGCTAATACCTGTCCCCGACCTTGTCATGCTCCTGATCTGTTCAGAACGGTGCCTGGCACAAGAAGCGGCATAATTCCTCGTTGCAAGCTATTTTTATTTGCAAGTCAGAAAATAAGACAAAAGGATTTTACTGCTGAGCTTTTAAACAGAATGGCAGCGTGTTTATTTTGGCTGTTCTGGATTTGTTCTGGCACCCGGCTAGCTCCAGCGACGAGGGAAAGCTCTCTATTCCTTATCTCCAACAAGGCGCTCCTTTTTCTAGTTCCAAATGTTAAGTAATAGCGCTCCTTCTCTGGATATTTGTTACTGGCTCCATCCAACCACAAAAGCAGAGGCGGTCTGCGCTACGGCGGAGATCCTGCTGTAGAGCTGTTAGCCACGGTTCACAGAGCTTAATTAAAAAAAAAAAAAAAAAAAAAAATCCTTGGCTTTTGAATCCATTTTGTAAGATCTCAATATTGTGGTTGGAACATATATCACGGGGCCTGAGCTTTAATACCAGCCCTGTTCACCAGCAATAGCTCCTGAAACAGGCAAACAGAGTAATCTGCGTGCGGAGCCGGCACCAGATAGACACGCGGGAAGAGGAAGGACCAGGGTACACGCGGTGACGACACGGTCTCATGACTGCTGGCACCATGAGGCACCTGCCAGGGTCTTGCCTGTCTGATGCAGACAGTGTGTTTCGGGCCAAGGGGATTTCTGTTCGGTCTGGTGGCTGGGGTTGTTTGCCGTGCCATAGCAAGGCTGTATGATTTGGGTATGTTTTTAAAAGTCAAGCAAAGCAGAAGTTTAGGGTGTAGCTTTTGCTGAGGTCTTGAAATCAGAGTTGTGTTGAGAAAGTGTCCGTTTTGGCTCTGCTTTTGCAGCACTAAACTTGGGACGCTGCGTTTCCAAAAGAGGAGAGGTCATTTACCCAGGGATGTTAAAAACTCGAGGGTCTTCTGCATGCGGTGAGTCCCGCTGGCAGCCTCAGACTGGCGCCGAACGCTTCAGGCCAGACCCAGAGAGGGGCTCCGGTGTCTGAACTCGCACTCGCGCTGACTTTCCCGAGCCTGTGCTTGGGAGGCAGAGGGGTCAGCTGTGGGCTCCACCGGCCATCATCTCCTTGCTTAGGTTTCAGTGACGAAAGGGATATTCGTCTCGTTCACCACCCAGAGGAGTTCTGAAATAAACCTCCCTCCGGTCGCCTTCTCTCTGCTTGCCTGCCCCTGCAGTCGTTGAGGGCCACGGGCTCGGGTACGGGCTCTGAAGTAGCGCGGGGTGGAGAAAACAGGCCCGAGTGACGGCAGAGCGGGCTGGCTGGGACTTGGCAGCCTGATTTTTGATGTTGCTGCATACACCATGAACCATTTCCGTGTGTTTGGCTGCAGGGCAGATCCCGTAGACAGTCGGGAACTACAGCAGGCTTATCACCTGCCAGAATATTCTCCAGGCTTGCGCTGGGAACCAGCCGTGCACACCTCGAGGAAAAGCCCTCGGCTCGCAGCGGAGGACGAGGGATTGCAAGCTCCTTTTTGTTTCCCAGCGAGACCGCGCTTCCCCACCGCCCCGCAACGCTGCGTGCACACACCTTCCCCCCCAAGTGTGCTTTGTGCTCAGAACCAGGGAACCCTAAAAGCCACCTGGGAGTTTTGCAAGAAAACTCCCCCAAAACCCCCAGCTTGGTCCTGGCACTTCCTGTTTCTCTCTCGCTCATCTCTCACCACGGTGCTCCATCCCCGCAACAGAAAGTGCTAATTCGATAACCCCGTGTGACAGTGAGCGAGCTGCTGAGCTGCCCCGCAGCGCTGTGCTCCCGCAGCCCCCCTTGTGCTCCTTGCTCAGGAGGTCGCTGGACTCTGCAGGCAAAATGGCCAAGCTGTGCTCCCGCGCGAGAGGAGAGCGCGTGCACTCCCTGCGCAGCCTGCCCTGACCCTGCTCTGCCTGTGGTTTGTCTTCGGTTCAGCGTTGCTCTCTCTTAATTAAGAGATGTAAACAGATTATTTCTGGGCGGACGGGCTGACAGTGGCACCAGGTGCTGCCCTGCAGGATGGCGGAGTGGGAGCGAAGCTGGAGGGGCTTCTCAGGCTCCGCGCTTCACTCTGCGGGCTCTGAATGCTCCCACGGCTGGCAGCTCAGCCCTGGGGAGAGCGACTCTCTGCTAGCCCCTTTGCTCTGCCCAGAAAGCATGGCACTGAGGAGTTTGGGGAGGGTGGCTCCAAGCATCACAGGTTTGCAGAGAGACCCAGACTGTACCTGATACCTTCCCAGCTACCCAGCGCGCTGCATGGGTACCCCTGTAAAGCAGCCTGCAGAAACCTCAAGTTCATACTCTCCCAGCAGCTGCATCAGCGGCACGATCTGAAAAGAAGCCTGTTTGAGCTGGTGCAATGGAAGGAAAACCTCTCAGGAGAGAATCTGGTTTTCTGTGGGTGACCCTGAAAGCTATAGGAACCTGGACTGGGGTACAGGTGCGGGGAGGGAGGGAGATGGCAGCCTTTTTCATGTAAGCAGATGCCCCAGGAGAGCCTCATGTGAATCTTTTCCCTTTCCTTTGCAGGATAAAGATAAAGTTTCTCTAACCAAGACTCCAAAGTTGGACCGGAGTGATGGCGGCAAAGAGGTGAAAGAGAGAGCTACCAAACGGAAGTTGCCTTTCACTGTTGGAACAAATGGAGATCAAAAAGACTCAGATACAGGTAAGGGACTATACGCACCCAACCACTGACCCACGGGCTCAGATCTGGGAGAGCAGCTGGTTGAAACAGTGGCCGTGCGGTGGTGTTTGAAGCCACAGAGGTAGAGGCGGTTGAACACGGGGGGTAGCGTTGCACAGCGTTATGTACGGAGTGCCGTGCATTACGGTTGGTGATGAGCTTGATTGAGTCGAACACAAATGGGCTTATCAAGAGACGTGTTCTCCGGCTGCGTGGCGATCCTTCCTGTTCAGCTTTTAGCTAATCCAATTCATCAACTGAGACTTCAGCTGGTGAGGAAGAAGCACTGAGCCTCAGAGTCAGAACTTGCTAGATAGGAGGTTTCCTAAAAAACCTTACCTTAGTGTGTATGCGTGTCTGGATAGTGAACCTGCTGCAGTGTGGCACACGCTGGCTTTACTGCTTTTGATGCAGGGCCTTGCTGTGCGCAGACAGCAAAGCCAGTGTAGTTTTTGGTGCAGCAAAAGAGATCCAGTCCGTGACTGCTCCATCTCGTACAGTGCTGGGGAATCTGCCCTTGAAGTATTGCGTAGTACTGGCTGTTTTGAGTGTCAGAAACCCTGCAATCTGTGCAGGAGATCAAGGAAGCACAGCAAAAATGGAGAGCAAGAGCTAGCCCTGCGTGATTTCGTTACAAAGGTAAAGCGTCTGGGAGAGGCAAGTCTGCCAGCGATCGGCTGAAGACGGTCCCTGGCTCAATGCCGAGTTAATAATAGGGTGAAACCAGTTGGGGAATGAATTGGGAAATGTTCTTGATGGAGAGCTCTGACCTGCGGGACCCCTTGGAAGTGATGAAACCCCCACTGTTTGAGCTGCTTCCACCTTAGGTGTGTTCTGGCACGGATGCCTGGAGACGTTTCCATCATCCGTGTCCATTCACCTGCTGCCTCGGTTGTAACCCAACGGCAGAACCGAGGGATTCCAGGCACGTCCATGGAGGACGTGGCTCCTTGTCCCTGCAGCGGGATATGGGGCATTTATTGCTTTTCCTGAGTTAGGTACCAAGGTCAGAGTTCGTTGTGACCGGTCACAGCCCGTGGCACCTTTGGCGTGCACAGCTGTGGGCTGATCTTGTTTGGTTTGCAAGTTGGCAGGTCATCGTCCGAGCATGTTGGGCGGCAGCTGGTTTCACTGGCTGAGCCATCAGGCTCGGCTTGCTCGTTTGTGCTGAATAGCCAAGTCTTTCGTAGCTGAACCTCTGCATCCAGGGAGAGTTTCAGGGTGTTAATTGTAGCCCGTGCTGATTGCCAGATCTAGGTATGAATCGTCATTTATTTTTGCATTCTTGGTGCACAGATGAGTAAGCCGGTAGATCACTGAGGTCATAGTACATTGCAGCAAGGAAGGGCAGTCCATGCCTTGTTAGGGAGCAGGCGGCGTGACGATGCTCAAGTTGTGGTCCTGACTCATTTTCAGAGCAGGCCGTTTGGGGTCGGGGTAGGATTTGCCTGGGTGACTGTCGGATTATTCATAGTGCTCCAGGGCTCGGCCTCACTTGAGCGAGCCAGAGTCTCCGACCAGCACCTGGGAGGTGGCCAGAGCCAGCGCGGGAAGGAGGTTGAGAACCGTCACTGCCACCTGGTAACACACACTTCCCCCCCACCCCGCCAGCACCAAATGTGGGGAGAAAGAAAGAGCGAGAAGTCCCTTGTAAGCGATTTCAAGATCATTAAAATGTCACGCTCGTTTGTAGCAGTCTCTTACCTTTAGTCGTCGGGGCTGTGCAGAGCTGGCGCTGACACGCAGACATCAAAGCGGTACCCTTGCAGCTGCATCCATCAGGGGCTGGAAGATGGTAATTTAGCCTTGCAAGGGTGCCTTTAAATGCCACCCAGTAATCTCGAAACGCGGGAAGGGTGTGGGTGAGCGTCTAACCACCCAGCCGAGTGAGGCTGCAGGCAGGAAGCGAGCGGGTCTCGCTCCGGAGGGGGCTGGGAGCTCAGGTGCGGGGCGCGCTGCGGGCAAGGCTGCTGCCTCTCGTGATGCTTGATTGCTCAGAGAATCGCCGGGCTCGTTTCCCTGCCAGCCCCTCTCCTGTCATGGGAGTCACAGGCTAAAGCATGTCGTTGAGCCGCGGCTTGGTTTTGGCAGCCCGGCTTTCAGCTTGCCTCCATTTACATGTACGCACGCAAAGGCACCCATTTAACATGCTTTCCCAAACCAGTGCCTAGGGTTGTACTGCACCCGTGGGTCTCGGCCTCCGTAGACTCAAGGCCCTCCTTGGAAAATAGGTCCATAGATATTGGGGGCTGCAAGGGACATCACAAGATCATCGGGTCCAGCCCCGCTGCGCTTGGGCAGGAAAAAATGCCAGCTCTTAGCTTTCACACGTTTCTGGACTACAGAAAAATACTAGAGCAAGTCTTCTGCTGCAGCCAACCCAGGAGGCCCACGACCGGGCAGAACGGCTTTGATGCAAGGGACTCCTGTCTGAAATCTCTGGGTTTCTCTTGGGAATGTGGTGTAGGTGTTTGCACACCCAACAGCGCTAATATTGCACAGCCCCCGAGGCCCCATAAAAGGATCTCACGGGGCCCGGTTGAGAATCACTGCACTTACATGCTTGCGGTCATGGCCGGCAAGCTACTGAAAGAGAGACTGTTGTCTCCAAGCGCGGGGCTCCCTCTCCTTCTGCTGCTCCGCTGAGCGGCGGGAGGAAAGAAGGCCTTTTCCCAGGTTTGATTGCAGCTCTTGCGAGGCCTGGGGTTGCCCCTCGGAGCTAACGAGGCCGGGGGCCCTGGGTTCGTTTCTGTAAGGCAGCCCTGCTCCTCGGAGCGCCGTCCAGGGCACTTGGGACCATGCGGACGTCAGTGTGTTTCTTAACTGCTGTTTGACATTTAGGCCGAAATCTGAGAGCTGGGAATTAGGACAAGCGGCGTTCCCTCCTGCTGGCACAGGGCAGCGTTCCCATGAACAGATCCAACAGGAACATGTCCCTGGCTGCATCCTCCTCGCTCTGGGCTGCACTGCCTGAGCTCGGTGCGCCTGGGGGAGACCTTGCAGGCTGGCTCTGGCGAGCACGTGTGAGCGAGCGCGGTGCCCGCCGCTTTTTGTTCCCGTCTCTCTTCCCACTTCTGAACTGAAGGGGAAGGCGAGCTGCCTGCGTGGGGTCCGGCAGCAGGGTGCGGGGTTGTCCCCGTGCTCGCGGTGTTGGCTTGGCCTTGCGTGGCTGCACAGGCTGGCCGGGGCAGGTGTTTTGGTCCTTGTAGGGCTCGGTGAAGGCCTGTTCTGCTCTTTTCCCCTGTCTGTTTTCTCTCGGTGGTGGCCCAAAGGTCCCAGCTCTTTCCCCTGCTCCATCTCGACTTGCCGACCACTTGCTCCCTGTATAGCCCTTTCCAGCTGCTATCCCAGGCAGGGGGAGTGTGTGGGCTGGGCGGGCGTCTGCGCTGGTCCCGAATCGCTGTACAGGGGGTGTTGCAGAGGCAGCCCGCCCTTCTCTGAGTCCAAGCCTATAATGCTTGCCTTCAGGAAGGCAGCAAGCAGGCTGTTTTGTTCCTCATCTGCCTTATTTTCCAGCTCATGCCCCACCCTGGCAGGACGTTCCTGTGTGCACTCCCAAGTGCCACACAGCGGGGCTTGTTGGCCGACTTGCACGTTCTTGGCACAGGTAGTGGAAGATCTTACTCGCGCGCACTGTCGTACAACAGACGGTGGTGGGACACTAGGACCAGTGTTAACTTGGCAAAGTTTATCTGCTTCAAAGTGACCCCCAGAGCCAGAGTCCTGGGGCCCTGGGTGGTTGTTATCCAGGCGCGCACACTGTTTAGGGAAAAAAGAGTGTAATTAGCCCTGAGCCTGGGCAACAGGTAGGTGACAAACTGCTTGTGGGTGCTGCCAGTCAGTCGGATGGCAGGCTGATGCTCCAGAGCAGGGTCCTGCCCGGCGTCACCCCGCCGTGCTGAGAGCGGAGCCGGGGCTGGTTTCATTCATGGGGCAGCCCCCGACATGTGCAGTGAAGTTAGCTTCCCCCCCACCACATTTAGATCAAACGTACGCCTGAAGCCTGCATCTTGCCCCCGCTTCCCTGCTCTCCCCCAGCTTGGGTTCAAGCCTTCACGGCCCAGCGCTGCCTGCAACCTGTGTGCCGTGCCGGGTGCCACGTTCGAGGCAGCGTGGTACAACCGTGCCAGGGCAAGAGAACGAAGCTGCCCCTTGCCCCGCTGCTGCAGGAGAGGCAGGCGCTTCCTTAGCACCGTCTCCATATGCTGAGATCGAAGCGTGGAGTTTTCCAGGCATGTTTGCCAATTTACAAATGCTTGCAAGAGGGGCTCGGAGGCGGCCGGAAAGAGGGGTGGGGGCAGGAGCATAGCAGGACTGGCAGAAGGTGAAACCACCTCGGTGGGAAAGGGCAGGCAGCAATCGAGACTCACAGAAACAAAAATTCTTGGCTGGGTTCCTCCGGGCCATGTCTCCTGTGTGGTTTTACAGCAAGCTGCTCGCTGAGTCACGGAGCTGACTCAAAGGCACCAGACTCCCGGGGCGCCGATTCTGCGCTTTCCATCCCCCTGCCTGTGCCCGCTGTGCCAACAAGCGCAGGGCTTCGCTGGCAACTTGCTTTGGCCCCTCTCCGGCAGCGCTGCATACCGGGCGGCGTGCTGCTGCTCGAGGTCGAGTGCTGGAGCGTGCAGTCCAGGAGGCAAAACTCCTGCACCTGGGTCATGTTGAAAACAGCTTGACTTCAGCTCGGAGGTTTTACTGTTGCGCTTAAGCGCGCGGCTTTGGCCGCTGGAAGGTGTCGCGGCGGTTTTCAGATCCTGAGTCGGCAGTGGGTACGTTTTAATAAAACCTCCAGAAGGCTCTGGTTTCGTTCCAGCCGGCAGGAGCAATCTGGGCTGGAATGCACCACCCATGTCTGGACCAGAATTGGCCATCTCAGGGTGTTTTGATTTTGCAGCCATAAACCATTCTTCGTCTGAGCTTCCACCAAGGTGGGATTATACTGGGTCGAGGAGGGGGGACCCCTTGCATTTCCCGGCGCATTT